CACACACACACACACACACACACACACACACACACACACACACACACAATTTTTCGAAATGTTTACAAGCTGAAAGTTACTTCCTTTGAACAGTCCTATTTATTTCAAATCTACACGTTTTAAAAAAACAGAGTGCACGTACGTGCTACACTGAAGTATATTTTACAAAGCCACATGAACAAGTGATACGTGTACAAACAAACCAGCATTTAGAATTCCTTCACAAGTGAAAATAAAACTGATTTTCATTGCAAACAGTAAAAAAACAAGAAAGGCCAAAAAAGTATTTATCTGCTCAGACAGTAAACCCAACAGACTTTTCTTTTTTTTTTAGTGTAGTGTTTCTACAGTCAAGAGAAATGGCAACACTGCAGCTTTGAAAGTTTAAACAGAATACTGTAACCAGTAATACCGATCCTTTTCAGTCAAATGAGTCCAAGGTTATCATAGACAAACCTTATAAGCATTAGTTTGAAAGTAACCTTGAACAGATTCTTACTTTTCTGGATTTTTTTGCAGCAAAGTCCCTGAGAAGATCACTAAAGTCCAACTTTCTCACCAGATCACTCTCAATAGACATGAGAGTCAAAAGATTCAGTTTTTCCTGTCCCATTGTGGATCTGAGTCTATTCTTCACTATTTTAAGCTTTGGCAATGATCGCTCACCAGTTGCATTTGTGACAGGGATGTCAGGTAGAGCCTGAATGCAATGTCCACATTTGGGAAGATGTCCTCCAGGTTTTTTCTCTGATTAACTGTAAAAGCAGTGGAGCAGATGTGATGCCTTTACCATGAAGAAAGTCTTTAAACTGGACAGTCTCCTCCACAAAGGCCATCTCCAGGTCAGCTGAATATGTACTTTGGAGATGTGATGCTTTGTTTCTGAGCTCTTAGTGTCACAGAGGTTGTTCAGGAAGCCAGAAGTGTTGAGGTTATCATATGCAGCAAACCTGCGATCCATTTCAGGACGTAGTCTATCAACAACCACCAACAACAACACTGGTGGAGAATTTTTATCGAGCTGATAACTCGACCTCTGAGGTGGTGCTTTCTCCAAAAGCTGCTTTTGTTTTTTTTTGTCTTTGACTACCAGCTTTGTAAACATCTGAAACTGTTGGAGACAACCCCTTCACTTGAGTCTCAAACCTTTCAAACTGATCTCTCAGACCTTCACTGTAGTCTCGCAAGGATCCCACCAAGTCCACAGCTTCACACAAATCCAGTTCCACAGCCTGCAAGGCAGCACTTGCTTTTTCAAACCGCTGGAGAATGCAATGCCTCAGTGTGCACATAAAACCAGTTTCAAGCTTGTCCATTTTTTTGTCGAAGAGATCTTGCTTCATTTCTAGTTGCTGCATTTTGATTAGTGTCATTTGCAATATTTTTAATGATTTTTTAATGTTTGCATAGTTAATATATACTGCCTGTGTGGTATCTGCCTGTGCAGCCCATCTTGTGTTACTGAGTGATTTCAGTGTTTCTATGCGCTTGTTTGCGTTTGGCTGCAGTCCATCTGTAACTAACTTCCACCTTGCTGTTGACTTGGAGCAGAAGTTGAATAGATTTTGCACAAACTGGAACAGCAATTAACACTGTTGACTCCAACCTAATCGGTGTGTGTGCTGCACATGGAATCCATTCAACTAATGGGTTGATCTCCTTTATGCGTGCTTGTAATCCTTTATGTACTCCAGACATGTTGGCAGCATTATCATAACATTTCCCCCTGCAGTTTGCAACATCACTGTTCATCTCTTCCAAAACATGAGTACAGACTCACACAATGCTTCTCCTGCATGACTTTCTATTTGTAAAACCTTCAGAAAGCGTTGTCCTTCAGGTGACACATATCTTAACACAAATGTAAGCTGATCAATATGTGTTACATCAGGCGTCGAGTCAACACTGATTGAGAAGTATTTTTCCATTTTTACTTCACGGACTATTTCAGATAAAACATGCTCACCCATCAGCTGAATAAACTCCTCACATGTTGTGGAAGAAAGACCTGAAGGTGTCCCTGCACCTGCATTTCCTTATTTTTTTATGTGAGACTTCAGAAAGGGATCAAACTCGCTGATTAACTCCAAAATACCCAGTTAATTCCCATTATCAGTCCTGCCAAAAACGTCACTGGAGCCTCTAAGAGCCAGTCCTCTCTCTGCCAAAAACCTGACAACAGACACAACTCTTCCCAACACTTCAGTCCAATACGCACACTCAGATTCAAACTGGTTTTTAGTTCTGTGTAGCAGTAACCTGAAGAAAGTTCTACCTCAAGACTTTAGCCCACACATTCTTCGTCTCCATGTCTGCAAGAGAACAGTGACTTATTCATTTACCTCCAAGCTTGTTTACTATCTACGAGTGGTAAGATAACAACAGGATGCAACAGACCTCCTGTTGATTGAGTACTGTGTAAGAACCCTTTGATGCACTCAAAATGGCCGCTTATCACAAAGAACTCAAACCATCCGCAGACTGTAAGTCTACCAAAAGTAGATTATGCAGCCTGGAACCCTCTTTGAAGCCGAATTTCTTGCTGAGTTTATCACTTACACCAGCATCAAAGAAACCATTTACATACTATCTCATTTATGGTTTTAGAGTGCCCCCAAAAGACTGGTTTTATAATTACACCACGAACAAATGTTTTTCTGTATTTCTCACTCTGATAAAAAAAAAAAGAGAAAAGAATTATTGTATTTTCTACGTGATTCAATCATTTGAAACAATGTACTGTTTTAATCACTTCACAAGCAATCTATTTCTGTGTGTTTAATCAATTTCAGTGGTAACAGACTGTGTAAGAAGGCAGGTCATGTGACTGTTTTCAGCAAATCATGAGTTTCAGAGTCAGGACAATAGAAACTAGTTTGAGCAGCAAATAGTTAGAAGAAGAAGTCAGAGTATGATGAAGGAAGAAGCAGCGTGAAGGACTCGCTCCAGTTTCCCTGAGGGGACAATTTTATTTTTATTTTCATTTTGTTTTATTTCATTTTATTTTGTAACTTCAAAGTTGTTGATTCTTCTTTATATCGCGGGACTGGATTCATGCAGGAAGCGAGCTCGATCAGAACTTTTTCAATCAACAAGTGCCCAGAAGTAGACCCCTGGTTCCAGCTTGGAGCCTGATCCCAGCCGCTTCGAGGTGTTCAGTTTGTACCCACAAGGGACCGCACTGAAATCAGTGACATCGCTGGCACCGCTTCGATCAAGCTCCGGTGCCCCGGGACAACTTTAAAGGCATCTGAGTGGTAGGACAGACATACTTTCTCTGTTGACGGTGTGCTCAGCTGAAGTGGTGGTGAAGTTTCTGGATCATTAAGTTAGTATTGAAGAAGGTTTGGCGAGTTTATTTCATGCATAATTCACGTCCCCTCTTATATCGATGAATTAACAATTTCTTTCATTAACCTTTAAGTTTCTTATAATCTTTGTTAGTTTAGATTAGCTTAAGTGGTTCAGTTAGAATGATGCTAGAGTTATTATGGAATGACATTAACGCTTATTATTAAACCTCAAGGCTTGATGATAATTGTCTCTGTCTGCCCAAATGATCTGTCTGCATTGTTACCTCTGAATCAATTAATACAAGGTATATTCTGAAATAGTTTGTCTGTGTGTAATTTATTGGGTTTGCTCTTTAAAATGGTAGAATTCACTACTCAGTAGTTGAGACTGACATAAGACCTATAAATTATTTTCCTGAATTATCAGGTGGTGCCCCTTTATTATGCTAATAATTACGAGGTATTTATGATTTAGCAATCGTCCATAACATTGACAGAATATCACTACATCTGTGTCTATCCTTCCACTGGCTGTAGAAAGCTTAATATATGTCAACATTGCTTTTCTGTGATGTTCGCTGTTTTCGTGCTCCTTCATGCGGTCTGTTGTGCGTTTCCAGTCACTGAAACCCGTTTCAGAGTGACTGATTTTTAGCATCACTGAAAATGTGACATGCAAAGCAAAACATAGCTCCAGTGGATGGAGAGTACAGCAGCCACTGCCTTTGGATGTACTCAACATTTACGAGCTTGCATTTAAAGTGTGATCTGGAGAAGAGCTGCTTCTGATGTTTGTACACCCATTCTGATGCTTCAACGTTTCCATCCATATTTTGACCACTCCCTGGTCCTTTCTCAGCCCAATACGCCCACACAGACTCATCAACATTTCCCCAGTGCACAGGACCAGGACTGTACTTGTTATCCTTAGTCCTGGGTGCTGCTGCTGATGAAGAAGTTTGATCCTCCACCTCCTCTGTCCCAGCCTCTGGCACTGTACCGCCGGTGTTAGCACTAGTGCTGTTAGCTTACGTTTTGACAACGCGAGAGGCATGATGGTTCTTTTCCTTCTCCACAATGAGGTGGATTTTCCGTAGTCACGGTTGCTGTTGTCAAAGAAGATTGTGCCTCCTTCACGGTTTCCATAGACACCAGATCAATCACAGCTCCAGGTTCTGGCACCGGTACCATAGCGTCAGGACCGGGCTTAGCAAGGCTGCTGCTGGTGGTGTTAGCAGAGGAGCTAATGTTTTGAGTAGACAAGAGCGATGGTGATTCTGTTCCATCATCTCCACTGAGAGCTTTAAAAAACCCTGTCAGCCTGGCATTTTTAAACACCTCTTTGTCGTCTTTCTTTCTTTCTTTCTGTCTTTCGTTCTTTCTGTCTTTCTTTCTTTCATTCTGTCTTTCTTTCTTTCTTTCTTTCTGTCTTTCGTTCTTTCTGTCTTTCTTTCTTTCATTCTGTCTTTCTTTCTTTCTTTCTTTCTGTCTTTCTTTTTTTCTGTCTTTCTTTCTTTCATTCTGTCTTTCTTTCTTTCTTTCTTTCTGTCTTTCTTTTTTTCTGTCTTTCTTTCTTTCATTCTGTCTTTCTTTCTTTCTTTCTTTCTGTCTTTCTTTTTTTCTGTC